TTAAGTGCGATTTATCTTTTTATGAACCTCGTATGAAAATCTTATCTGATTCTTATAAGACACTTACGACTGTCGATGGGAATTCTTAAACAATCTTATATAAGAACCTGATAAGATTCTTATAAGATACTGACAAGAGACTTATAGGTTTCTGGTAAGATTCTTATATAAGAATCGATCTCTAGGGTTCGACCAGCTGAATCTAAAAATTTCCTTAGAGGCACTCGAGTGTCCTGATTTTGACGAGAAAGTATGCTTGACTTTTTTTGGTGATCGGGTCACTTTAGTTAAATTGAAAACGATTCTCGGATTTCGGAACTCATCGCCAGCAAGACATTGGAGTGTGCAAAGAATCTTTTCAATAAATGGTAGAATAGACTGCTAACTTGTTTTACATTTGGTCAACCACCTCTCTAACGTGAGCAACTACTCTATAAAAAATTTTCGTATCATGCAGAACCAAAAAAGGTATTTCTATGCGGGGATACCGTTTCTAGAATCTCTGAGTAACAAATGCAGATGCCCTCTTCTTTTTGGTTCTGTGGAATGAATAACACTCGCAAAGACATCTTACAAAACAAAAAAAGGTACAACAAAATAGTAAAATGGCATTGTAAAATACGATTAAGGGTATTTCTAATTCCAAAGAACCCAATAATTGTGGGTATCTGCATTTGTTACTCAGAGACTTCAGAAAGGGCATCCCGGCATGGAAATACCTTTCTTTGTTCTTCTTCTTTAGAGAGCAGGTAGGCATCTAGAGAAAAAAATGAAAGTAAGTTGCTTTCATTCAAAAGCACTCAAAAGCTATTGATTGCAACACTTCCGTATCTGCACTACCCAGTCACTTTTTTCCGTAATTCCGGCTTAATTTTTCTTGTTTTTTCTGCTCCAACTTTAACAGTGAATAGGTAATAGATTACAAATCTCGCTAAGTCTGGATGAATATATCGTCAAGTATACCAGTAAGGAAGAGTAAAAGTTTATATGGAAAAGAGGTGAAATTCCATCTTCCCTCCATCCCCATACGTGTGCAACGCACAGACATTTTCATCCATACAGCCATCGGAATCCAGTTTACATGGCTCCACAAAGTGGAATATGGTCTCATTCCCCGGATTTAGCTCCGTGGATAAGAGGTTTATTTATCAGACTCGATAGTCTGAAAGTTATAGCATATCGTTCTCCAAAAAAGCGAAAATGAAAGTTTAGCATTGAACACATTAACCCGAATACAGATACAGAAGGCTTAATTACCTCGCTAGGAACACTATTCTACTGTAACGCTCTGGCCTGTCGACGTAACGCGTGATTCCGTCACGATTTTTGTTGTTTTGCGAGTCTCTTGGCGTTCGAACAAAAGGAAACTAAGGAATTGTTTACATCTAGTCTTGTAGAGAAAAAGTGAACTGAACAAAATGTGATATTTTTCGTTCTCGCAGAATATCGTGGTCGTCAAGTACAACAAAATTTTTACGAGCCCCAACCAAAAGTCCGCCGAAACAGGGCTCGTAAAACTTTTCTTACATTTGAGAACCACGACACGCTACGGAAACAGAAAATATCACATTTTGTTCAGCTCACTTTTCTCTACAAGACTAGATGTAAACGGTCCTTAAGTTTCCTTTTGTTCGAGAGCCACGAGCCACGAAAAGGCGACAGTTACGTGGACAGGCCGGCTCCTTTTTCAATCGTTCATACGTCGATCGATAGAGACTATCGGGATAGTAAAAAGCCCGAAAGCGTTCGTGCTAATGACTCTTGAAGACCTAGTTTTCTGGAAAACCAGTTTTCCTTAGTGAGTCATGATTGTAGCCCGCAATTCTGATTAAAATGAGACATCTGCCAGCTCTACACGACCTTTCTTTGCAAAAGTTATAGAATTTACAACATAAGCCCTAAATGTTCATTCTCAGGTCAAAGCTACAGAAATCAGAAGAAATTAATTCAGGGCTTTTGTTGTAGATTCTATAACTTTGCAAAGAAAGGTCGCGTAGAGCTGGGAGATGCCTTATTTTAATCAGAAATTTGCGGGCTACAATTATGTCTCACTAAGGTTTTGATTATTTTTCAAAGTTTCTGAAAAACTGGTTTTCCAGAAAACTGGGTCTTCAAGAGTCATTGACACGAACCCTTTTAGGCTTTTTACTATCCCGATAGCCTCTATCGATCGACGTATGAACGATTGAAAAAGGAGTGTTACAGTAGAATAGTGTTCCTCGTCAGTAGAAGGCTTACTGGAGGAGTTACACACTTAAATCGTAAATCACCTGGGTAAGTTTTTTTGTCTGTTAATTTGATGTGTAAGAAAAGATTTGCATACCTTTTGTGCGTTACTCTATGCCGCAAAATTTTCTAACATTCTTCTTGTGGTCGTTCGCTTTTGACTGCCCTCACCCCAAAGTGGAAGTCATTTTTGCACAAACTTTAACGCCTCAGACAAATTCTTTTTGTCGCTAAATATGTATGCAATTGAATGAAGTATGGTTGCACTTTCTATTCGTCGTGGTGGTTCTTCGCTCATCATCAATTCATATGATAGGAATCATTCATGGAAGGCGTCCTAGCAAGACAGATTCGGTTAAAAAAGCTAAATAGTGGGAAGGGCGGGTGCAGATCATCTCGATTGTGCTGAACTGGGCATGCAACCCGTTTTGACGTGCCAGATGTATCACAGTTTGTGGTAGTTTGGGGGGAATCAAAAGTTGTGATTCATCTATGGATCATCTTTTCAAATGATACTATATCTGAAAATGTTCTAATGCCAAATCATAATCACCACGATTGTAATGTATTTCAGCAAGAGTGAAATGCACGAGAGCAGCATCTTCCACATCACTTATTTGATTCAAATAATTTTCGGCTTTCGTACGATAACCCATTATGAATAGTAGATTAGCCAGAATTATAGAATTCGATTTTTCAGGCATTATATTTCGTTCCAAGTCTAAAAAGTCTTTCCCGATTGTTCCACTATCGTAGACTTCGAGTTTGACTATCCAAGCATGATGATACTCATCATTGAATTCAATTGCCTTAACACGAAATGTTGTTCCCAAATCCAAAATACGTATTTTGTTGTTGTTTCGTCGTACAAGTCCGCATTCAAATACAATCGGTATGCGACCATCAATTATTTCATTTTCGTCGTCTACAGCAGTATCTGAAACAAATGTCAAGTATTTAATAGCTGACACGTTCGGTCAATTTCCATTAGGCAGGAGATAGCAAAGATGAAATCTTGTTACTTGTGTAGAGTTAGTTGATTTGTATTAAATTCGTGTTCCGGTACGCTAATGCGGGTTTGAACCTATGTGCTCGAAAATTTGAGCTAATTTCATATTTTCAAGATTAGAGAGTAACTTATAGAGATGCTTTTGTATGTGCTTCGATCTGAGTTATCTGTCAGAATTTACACTTTTATATGAGGGTGAGAGTATGACTTGATCGTTTGTTTTTCTGCTTAACGATTTCTCAGATTGCGAGCATCTACTTCAAAATGGGAGTAAAGCTCATCAAATTGAAAATTTGTTGGAACCGACTTCTGTTTTGTAAATAATTATTCCAGGCAGAGCTAATCGTTCGAATAATAGAGGCAACCGCCCTCGGTTGGCGGTGGAAAAATAATGACAGAAAGCGGAGAAGTACGAAAAATATATTTTTGGACGTCGGACTTAAATAGGAATGATCTACGTTGACCGAAAAATTCTTCAGAATATTTCGCAGCCAGATATCTGATACGGTCTGAACAACTTCCTTTTTACGTTAAAATGTCTAGGGTCAAAACATTGCTAAGGTTACCTTGGCACACACCTAAGTCAAAAGCCGTAATTTAAGTGGATGGCAAAAGCTGTTGAAAACAATAGTTGGATTTAACCATTTCCATATTTAGAAGAGTCTTTTTGTTTAATACTTTGTTTTAGTCTACACAATTCTGCCGCTTGAATCGTCCCACAAATCGAAAGGAGAAAATATCACAATCAAATACCAACATTTTGAGATGTTTCCTTTCAAAATCTCCACGTCATCGTTTCTTTATCTTACTTTTCCAAACAGACTGCCGTTTTTCCTTTTCTCTCTAGCCCGAGAAATGGAGAGAAAACGACAAGTATCCGTGAGAGAGATATCACCGTTTCTTGTCCGAAGACAAGTTGAAGCTATGGCGTAACCAAAAGGGCTCTATAGAGCCCTTTTAATTACAACATTTCGGTAACCTGCCATGGCCAGGCATTTTTCTTAATTTTGTTTGCTCCCACTTTAACTGCAAGAACCTTGAATAGACAGTAGATTTCAAATCTTGCTGAGTTCTGGTGAATATATCGTCAATCACGCCTAGATTCAATGACCCGCTCAGGCTTGTTAAAATTGGAAGGACAATTTCACTGTCTTAGAGCAGTTCGACCCCTTCTAAAGTTATACTTCTCCATGATATTATAAATCCACAATCTCGTTCTCCGTCGGAGTTTCACAATAAACTCTTTGCGTGCAGAACACAGTGGGCATCTAGGCGGACATTAGGTGAAAAATCGAAGTTGCTCCTTTTTCAAAAACAAATAGCCTAGAATGTAGCCCTTGAAAAGGGCTATCGAATGGTGTATAAATGTCTATTGTGATGTTCACTTCTTCGCAGAGAAAAACGGGTACAAAACAGTACTGTGTTATACTACTTTTAGCGACATCTTGAGAGTTATTTGTTCATTTTACTTGCTTCGTTGCATTAAATGGCTACACAAAGCACATATTCAAAATCAGCAGAATGAGCGCTATCTATTGCTACCAAAAAGTTACTAATTCCAAAAGGAATTCGATGAGAAACAGGCCATACAAGCTGCTTAGTGTCAATTACACTTGACCCGTCCTCAACATAGTCGACCCGCCACCGTTAGCCACTATGCAAAACGACTTATTTATACACCAAAATGTTCTCCAGATCAAGCTGCATCGTTGGTGATGTTATCTTTTTTCACTTTATTGTTTAAGTCGAGTAATAGGTTTTACAAAAACCGCTGGGATTTTGGAGATATTTTGCAGTTTTCTACAGTATAAATGCACTTTTCTTAAAATATGATACCATATTCGGAATCAGCGTGAAAAACTGTGTTGAATGGTGTATAACTCATCTAGTTTTGGTCGCTTGGTTTTGAATTCTAGAAATTCCTTAGTTTTTGAAATTCACACAAACAATTTCGTGCTGAAAATTTGAATTTCAAGATAAAGTAACCTGAACGACTCGAAACATGTTTCTTATAGGTTTTC